GCGGGCAACAATTCTCCAGATAAATTGATCACTGAGCTGTTTGTGGAACAGCTGTGTACAAATTGCTTAAGAAAGTACCCAGTCACTTCACTGTACAGTAATTCTTTGAGATGTTTCGAGATTCTAGGTCCTTTATCAAATGCCAGGAATATTTATTGGTTATGGATCCATCCAGCCAAAGTGGGCACATTGTTTGGAATACAGCACTAACAGCACTCGAATTGTCGAGCTCACTTAGTAAAGCCACACCCCTGGGGTGTGGGAAGTGAAATTAAGAGCTCCGAGACACTGCCAGGACACTAGGCGAGAGACAGAAACTCTCTTTAACGTGCATTTGAACAGGCAGACAGGACCTCAATTTAACATCTAAACGGTAATTAATGATTAGAACACATTACTAGGATGGCTGGCGCCAGGGTGCTGCGACTTATTTAAAAACAGTTTATGCTGTGATGGGGGGGAAGGTAGGGCAGGTGTTCTGGAAAGATGAGATCAAATGGGCTGAAGGGCCTACTTCTTCCGAGGCTGTCAGGGTTGTATCTTCCTTTAAGTAAGTGAGTATTGCTGTTGTCTGTAAAATTGTCACTAATGATAGACTCTGGTTTTGTGTCTGTGCTTTGATGTTTTCACACACGTTGAGAACCACAGTACCTTGATGGCTAAAAATAGAGACTCGCTGCATCTTTAGAACACATTTCCCTTTATAAAGGTGCACAGAAACCATTGTCACTATTTTTAGGGATCCGTTGACACTATCTTTAGAGATCAACAGATTGCAGACCCCAGGTGTCTTCATTAAGATGAAAAGCCTTGGTAAGGTTTTACTCCTTTGCTTCTGGATCTGTCTCACGCTAATAGCTTTTCCTGGGCTCTCAGTCAGCAGTGAGGGTGTAGGAAGGTGCAGCACAATTCACAGTGGAGGGATGGCTGGGTTTCTCCCTGACATCGGTGTCTGTGATAGGGAACTTCTGATTAGTGTGGTGGTGTGCTGAGCTGTGCTGTGGCGGGGGATGGGGCGCGGAAAAAATGTTAGGCAATCGACCTCCACTGACCTAGCCATGCACCACATCACTTTGTCGTCAGCAGCGCCCTGGAGAAGAAGAGGAGAGATCCTTCACCTAAATGCCACGCAGCAGGTGGTAGGACCTGAATAGAAATAAGAAGGACCATGATGGAGTAGAAAAATAGGATGAAGATTTAAAATCCATAAATGTATAGTGCCCAGTTTTAAAACTTCTGCATGAATCATATCTAAATTTAAGGTTCACACAAATAATGCGATTAGTTAGTGTTGCTGACCTTTATTTGGAGTAACTAAATGTCATCTTAAACCCTTAGAACCATAGCGGTGGAGTTCTCAAACTAACAGAGCCACAGGGGAGAGAAACACACCCAGTGGCTGTTTTTGCTGTTGTCAAATCTATAGCTTTAGCTAATTTGCAAGAGGCGTTGATAGTATTTGACATGCTTACCTGTAGCCTGGTGTTAGTCCAGCAAGCTGTTAAAGAACAGCTCTATTCCACTGTCCTTTTTGAACATAGAGAAGGACTTGCTTCCTGAATGGATCTGTGGGTTTCACTGCTGTGGAGACGAGTCCTGGGTTCAATCCCTGCCTCTGGCTGAGGCAATAGCTAATGGTCACTCACAGTCGGGGAGATGAAATGTAACAATAACACTTGCATTTGATATCATGTCGTCAGAACATCTCAAAGGGCTTCATAGAATTTATTGCAGAGCGTAGTGACTCACTTGTTTGTAGGCTATCGCAGAAGCTCATTTGTGCACAGCAGTTACCCACAAACAGCCAGGAAGTGAGTGACCAATTTTAGTTGGGGGATTGCTGGCCAGGACACGTAGAGAAAGAAACTCCCATTCCCTTTTTGAATTGAGCAATGGGATCTTTAACGTCCGTCTGAACGGGCAGACGGACCTCAGTTTATCGCCTCATCTGAAGGACGGCATCTCTAACAACATACCACTTCCCCAAGCGCTGCACTGGAGCGTTAGTTAAGAGCGTTCCCATGCAGGGCTTAAACATACAACCTTCGGACTCAGAGTCAAGACGGCTAACAACTGAGCCAGGCACTTTATACGTGAGAGAAATTGCTTAAAGTCCTGACATGGGGCTTGAATAACAACCTTCTGATCGAGATATGATCAACCAATCCAGTCTGATAGACGAACGTCTTTGAGGATGTGGCAGAGATACAAGGCAGGGAGTTCTTTTCTGATAGAAAGCCATTGAAGAAAAACTTTCATAAGTCACTTTCGAGTTAATGAAGTGCCTTCCACTGAATAATTTTACAACTGTACAATATTAAAATTTTCAAAGATTACGTGATATGTTTTACTGTGGTTGTTTTGCATGGACTGGAGTAAATTCATGTGTCCCAACTATCGTGGCTACAAATACCAAGTGTGTTTTCCAGACTTGTGGACAATCGCAGGCAATAATCACCTAGTTATTGAGTGGTTGTTGGCTGGAACATGTCATAGTGTTCTCCACACATAGGTGTACTATAATGATGAAGTTAATAAGCACAGTTTATACCTCGCTCAGCAAATAGAGTATCGATGCACCTGGCTGAAATAATGATCTTGTGTTCCACAGCAGTAGGTCAGTGAGTGGTGATTTTTTTGTTCCACATTCAATAATAATGATCCTTACCATTTGGCAAAGCGCCTTTCACCTCAGAAGCACGCCTCAGAGCACTTCACAGGATTTACAACGCCTTGATTTTTACAGTGGCCTTCGAGCGTGTTGGTATCTCGGATTAAAACTAATTCAGAGTAAACAGATTTAATGTAAAGTGTAATGACTTTTGAGGTTGACCTCGGCAACTATTTTGTGCTCAGCAATGTCACAAAGTGGGTGAACCATTTTATTTGGGGGACTGAAACACAAAGACAATCTCCCTTCTCTTCTCGAATAGCGCAGTGAGATCTTTAAGACCCACCTGAACAGGTAGACAGGAACCTTGGTTCAACATCTCATCATAGTAAGTCAACTCCTCAGTTGGCTTAGCTGATAAAAGGCACAAGGCACTGTCCAGTGTTGGTTTGAGACATGTCAAGAATAAGGTAGCTCCAGGCTCATTTGGTAACATGCTCACCTCTGAGATAGGACTTTGTGGGTTTAAACCTAGTGTGGCGCAAACTTTCAGAGCTGGGGGAGCACAACCAAAAGATCCCTCCCCGGGGCCAAAGGTCCTCTAGATAAGATCGGTCATTCACTTCATGGCAGTTTGTGGAAAGTTGCTGTGAGTAAAATGGCTGCCATGACATACATTAGACATCAAACTTGACAGCAATTACCCGTAAAGCTCTTTGAGATGATTATAGTTGCATGGCAGGCGGATATCAAATGCAAGTGATTATCAATATATTATTTTAGAAGGCTCTTGGTTCAATCTTCTTTCTGCATTAATAAAACAATAATAATCCTTGCCTTTGATATCATGTCTTTGAGACTCCTCCTTTGAGACACACAATATACTGTAAAGCAAATTGACTGTATATTTGGTGGGCGAAATGTGGCAGCCAGTCGCACACAGCTGTGTCCTACAAACAGTTGTGGATTAAGTTATCTAATAGGTGCGGAGGGTGTTACAGTTGCTAGCCTAGGGAACATTGGCGGGTGGGTCAGTAACCCGAGGACAACGATTTAAAACAGTTGTTAAAACAAACAAACAGAGGGTAGTGGAAACCGATTCGATAACAAGTTTTAATTATTTGGGGAGGACAAGTTTGCAGCGCTATGGGGAGAGCGACGGGAGAGTGGGGTTGGTTTGGAAGCTCTTTTCAAAGAACTGGTACAGACACGATGGGCCAAATGGACTCCTTCGGTGCTGTATAGTTCTATGATTCTAAAATAACAGCCAGAGTTTCCCTGATTGCTTGAGTAATCCCAGCTGGAAACGAGTGTTGGATGAGGGCAGGGTCAGGCTTGGCTGTGATCCCTCATGCTGCCTGCCAATGCTTGCCATCTGGGCTGCTGCGTGGAGAACAGTCAATGAGATGTAGTAACAGAAGACAGTCAGAGCTGGTGGAGCCCCAGAATGAACCAGTGCCAAGCAGGAGTGGGAAGGAATTGTGCTGAGTTGGTGGGGGAAAGTAATGGAAACCAATAACAACCAGACAGTGAAATTAAAGGATGATAGTAAGGCATTGAGTAATAATAGTAATGGGGCGTCCTGTAGCGTATTAGTTAGAAGCACTCGCAGTATGAAACGTTGGGCAAGTTTCCTTACTCCTCACGCCTCTGTTTACCTGTTTACCTAGCAGTAAGTAGGAACCCGGTTGTTAGTCGATTGGGGGATCGCTTTTCCGGGGGAAATAATCCCTTTAAAAATAGAATTTAAAAAAATAATAATTTGGTTACTCAATCCTGACTGTTTGTGGGAAGCTGCTTTGCGCAATTGTCTGCTGTGTTTCGCCCACAAAATATACAGCCAATTCAATATAGTTGCAGTATATTCTGTGAAGTGCTTTGAGACATCTCGAAGACGTGAAAAGATGCTATATCAAATACAAAGATTATTATTATTATAAATTATAATAACACCAGCCTATTTTGCACAGACAGAGCAGCTATTTTGCTTGTAGCAATGCGCCACAACAGTTTGAAAGTGAGTAATCAATTTTTGGGGGAATCGATAGCCATGACACCAGAAGAAACTCTTATCTTTTCGAATACTGCCACGGCATCTTTAACATCCATTTGAACTGAAACGTCTCCCTTAAAAATAACCCTTCATAATTTAAACTCTTCTAAAATCTATCATGCTAGCTGTAGCTTTGGTGATTAAGATTAGGTTGATGATGTAGAATAAAATGGTCTGAAGTTAGATCAAGTCAAGTCAATTCCAGTCAATGAAAGGAGCACAGTCTTGTCCATATCTTACTGTGCCTTGCATTCCACCAGTAGCTGAATTTACTGTGCGCCACATTGATCTAGACTGTGATTTAACGCTCTTGTGGTTTTGTTCTCTCTTCTGCAGAAAGACTCCTGGGGGAGGCAGTACTCCTATGCGCTATTCAAAGCCATGAGCCACATGTTGTGCATCGGATACGGACAGCAGGCTCCCGTTAGCATGTCTGACGTCTGGCTGACCATGCTCAGCATGATAGTAGGAGCCACCTGCTATGCTATGTTCATCGGTCATGCCACGGCCCTCATCCAGTCACTGGATTCCTCTCGGCGGCAGTACCAAGAGAAGGTAAGGGCTCACAGGCACTCAGACATATGGCTGCTTGTCTATCTTAACTGATAACTGGCTGTCATAAAATCCCTTGGTACCAATAAAGGCCTTAACCTTGTCATTGCACCTGATGCCAACATAGTTAGTTTCACTGGCAAGCAAGCATGTCTGGCATTATAGCAAAAGTGGGTCTCAAATGAGATGGTCAACATAAGTAAGCCTGAAATCTCACTTTGTCTCAGCCTAAGACTATGTTATCTTAATATTTATTAAATATCAAATCCTTGCACTTGATATAACGCCTTATCACGAGGTCGAACCATCTCGACGAATTTCACAGGACATACTGTAAGGTGTAGTGACTGTGTACTTTGTGGGCGAACGTGGCAGCCAATTTGTGCAGAATCGTCCCACAAACAGCCATGGAGTGAGCGACTGATTTTATTTGGGGGATTGTCGGCCAGGTCACTGGGAGGAACTCCTGCTTTCCTGACCCCCAAAGAGTACAGAATTTTGAAAATCCTTAAATCCGGCCTTAATCTGAAAGCCTTTTTCTTTTTAAGAACTGCGGAAACACGGCTTTGGTTTAAGACTGTATTTGACACAGTCCGGTGCTGCCCTTGAATCTTAAGACAAAATAGCCCAGAATATCACTCCAGTGCAGTGCTGGGGGAGTGCCACATTGTTGGAGACGCCATCCTTCGGATGAGACTTTAAACCAAGGTCCCATCTACCTGTTCAGGTGGACATTAAAGATCCAGTAGCGCTATTTGAAAAGAAAAGGAAGTTTCTCTTTCCTGGTGCCCTGGTCAATAATCCCTCAAATAAAATTGGTCGCTCACTTCATGCCTATTTGTGGGATATTGTGTACAGAATAGCAGTGTCATTTATGAACAAAACACACAGTCACTCCACTTGGTAATAAATCCTGTGAAGCATTTTGAGACATCTTCTCGACATGTGTCAAATGCAAGGATGATGATTATTATTATTTATTATATTCCTAACCAGGTGACAAACAGAGATGTAACCCAGCGCTCAGATAATTTCATAAACTGGGTAAATGTTTGTGTAAATAAAAATGTGACCTGAACTCGGATCGGATAAGTGCTTGAAATTGTTCCAAGATGTCCACATTCTTACACCATGGTAAATACTTAAGCAAAGCATCTCTGTCTTGCTGTTGGTGTGTGTGTGCGGGGGATGGTCACAGAAAGGGGATTAACAATCGAGATCTCATGGCTGCAAGCTTATTGAAAAGAAATTTGCAGTTGATTGCTGGGAGAATTCCGTGTGTAGCAGATAGAATATTTAATGAGAAACTCTTCCAGTCAGCGGGGAAATAAGGCATTGTGATTCCAATGAAATCCGCACTGGATGAGCAGACAGCAACTACTGTTAATACTGGTACCATTAACCCTTCAAAGACACCTGAAATTTCTCCAAACCCCCACCTCCCTCGCTGTGATATTCGCAATCCAGAGACATACATGGCCTCACGGGCAACAAATGGTCATCAATTCACATGGAGAATTTGTTTCACTGGCACAGGAATGGTTAAGACTGTTATAGCTGGTTTCCAGTCCTCCTAGGGTTAAATGATTGATTGCTGGCTTATAGAGCTTCCTAGGGTTAAATCTCCGATAGCTGTCTTCTAAGGGTAAAATCTCTGGAAGCTGTATTCTAGCCCCCCTAGGGTTGAGTCACTGATAGCAAGCTCCCAGCCCTTCCTTTGGCCTTGCAAATGCATGCGCTTTAAATGATTCTGACTGGAGTAATTACAAGCATTTCTGCCACTTTACTGCGGGGTTTGGGGGCTGCTGGCATTCACAAAGACAGAGCTGCAACGGCGGAGCAGCTAGTTAAGTAGGGCAGGAACATTTCCCTGATAGCACTGGGACATTGCCCTGTTATCGAAGGAATCAGCTCAAATGACTGTTAGCAAGTTGACCGACCACTAAGCATTACAGATGGTGACAGCTGCATTCTCCCAACCCAGCCTCAGGGACTGAAGACATTTCTGTGAAGGCTGTCAATCCCATAATAAAACCGATATGGCCAGAGAATAATCATGTACATGATATCTTTTGAGGGCGCTGCCATACTTTGTTTTTTGTGGCCGGTATTGTTTTTCCAATGCTCTGTATTTATTATTTATGATTAAGGGGAAGCGGGGCTGATATTACATCTGATTAACACCGCTGCCTTGCTCAGTCGAGCAATAAGCTTCATCTTTGTGCTGTCACCAGTCCCAGATGTTAGTGTTCAAAGCGTTGGCAGGCTGCGGAGGCTTGTGACCTGACGATGTGCCAAACACGAGGCAGTTACATCGCGTGCGTTTCCAGCCCTCCTCACCCCTGCTCACCTCTGCCTGGGATGAGATTTTAGCTCACTTCACTTGACGGTCTGCTCATTGTCGCTCGCAGCAGGACAAAACAACACCTTGGTGATGAGTGAAAATTAAACCATTTTCTTTGCGTTTCCACTTTGCTTTTGATCCAGCTCGGCAGAACAATAACATGGCACAAATGTTAGCGTCAAGATACCCACCACGTGGGCCACAGAATTTGCGGTAATCCTTAAAGCATTCCTGAAATTATTTTATTTAAGGACAGGGCGCTTTGAGGAACACCAGTAGGTGGCACCTCACTCCACGCAAGTGTTTTGTTTGCTCTCAGGATCCTCCTAGCACCGCCAATTTGTGACGGTGAGGCAAGAGTGATTTTGTTCTGTAAATATTGGACCCTACATCAAGCCTTTGGTTGGCGATTTTTGCTTAATGTTACAAAATTAATTGGCATTGCCTCAACGTCATAAAATGATTCCATCAGGATCTCACTGGGACCAATCTCCCTTTTATCTGGAAAAAAAGATTTTCCACCCAGTTACACATGTGAGGGTAAAATTCTTGCTTCGCGTGGTATTTATCATGGCATTGTTGAATGGACCAGAGGCAGGTAACATCACCACTCACTCCCCCTCTACCAGAAGTAACATATGCGGAACCCCAACACTGTGCTTGAGTATCCAAACCAGACTGAGAGTCCCACGTATCTGTGCCACCTAGCCATGGAAATTTCTCTGTGTCGAGAGACATACTCTTTTGCCTTTGACATCCGGAGGGCGTCTCAAAAAGCACTTCAAAAGATTGATTCACTGTCATGTGTAGTGACTGTGTATTTTGTATTTTGTAGGCTTACCGAATTTCAGAGGGTATTAGGTACAAGTTGGTGAGAACTTAGGCTTGGGGCTTCGTGTGTTGAGGAACTGCTGGAGTTTAACCAATAGAACCCCGTGGCTCCTTTTGTGAATTGAATGAGTTTAGAAATATACAATTTACATTTGTACAGCTCCCTGTAATAATAATAATAATTTAGTCACTCATTCCATGACTGTTTGTGTGACACTGCTGCGTGCAATTGGCTGCTACATTTCAACCATAAAAGATACAGTCAATACACTTTACAATATATTTTGAATATTGCTTTGAGCTACTTGGAGACATATCAACGACATGATAAGGTGCTATATCAAAATGCAAGGATTATTATTATTATTACTACTATTATTATGTCTTGAGATGGACCTTGAACAAGGTTAGCGAACTCACAACCTTAATGGGATTCTGCTCCTCACCAGAAACCTTCAGTTACTTCAACAACAACAACAGCTTGCACTTATATAGCACCCTCCATGCAGGATAGCGCCTCAGAGCGCTTGTCTGTACTTCTCTGTGTTACAGATTTATTTTTGTTCCAAATGCAAGCTGGGTGCCAACTGCACTGCCAGATATTCAGTGGTTTCTTTTATATAAAATACTGTCCCAAAGATGTTTAGCTTCGTCTTTATTGCTCTGTACTCCACTATCACTGTTAATCTATCAGAATTTGTCTTTGTCAAACACTATTATCGATCCACTCCCTTCACTTCTTTCCGTCCTCCCTCAGTGACATTTACACTGGTAATACACACGGGTAATAAGGTGTTCGTAAATCTGAATGGATCAAGCCAGCATCGTTTCATTACTGGGAGAAGCTGAAACTGAACTGAGTGCCTGAGGTTAGGTAGACACCATTCATCTGTATTTTATTCATCTTTACTTATTTTCGATTTGCATTCTTTGAAATCAAAATTTAATTTGACTGCATGTTGTGCAGCTTTACAAATGATCCTTATTTGAAGGGCAAATGATTGCTGTTTTGATGCCGTAACATCCTATGTAATTCTATTAACCCTTTACAGTATCATGAGCATTGTCCCTCATTTAAGCATAGATATTCTAAGTACAGAATAAGGCTACTTGGCCCATCAGGTCTCTACCATAAGCACCTGTATTGCTGGGCTACATTCTTGTTTTACTACTTCCCTATTGAACAGCAATATCAACAACAATATTTTGCATTTACATACACCTTTTATGTCAGGAGGACGTCTCAAGGTGCTGGACAGTCAAAGTTTTGCACCCAAGCTGGGGGTTAGAATCAAGAAAGGTGGAGGGCAAAGAGGGTAGGCGCAGAAAGGCTGAAGGCCCGACAGTCGATGGTAGAGTGGGTAGGGTGGAGGAAGTGGAGCAGGCTAGGACCCGCGGAGGGAACAGACAGGTTGGTAACGTATTAGTAGATCTCAGAGGTAGGGAGGAGCAAGACCTTGGAGGGCTCTAAAGTTGAGGACATAGATCTTGAACTCAATCCTCTGGGAGATGGAGAGCCAATGAAGCTGGGCGAGGGTAGGGTGATTGGCTGACGGAGCTTAGTGTGGGAGAGGACTGAATAATCTGCATCTTGTGGAGAGAAGAGTTGGGAAGTGCAGGAAGCAGGGAGTAAGCAGACCCATTCCAGGCCTTTTCCCATGTCGCCTGATGTTTTAAATGCCCAGCTGTTTCTACAAGTCCCCTTTGAATGAATGCGTTCATCCACTGTCAATAGCCAGTGGTGGCCTTAATAGGGTTGCAAAAGCACTCTGATGTTCACAACTGAGTTGACGATGAACTGCTGGCTCTATCACAGTGCAGAATATCT